TCACCACCATCACCACCATCACCACCATCATCACCATCACCATCACCATCACCACCACCATCATCATTATCACCACCAACATCCTCACCATCCTCACCATCACCACCATCAGCATCAACACCACCACATCCACCATCAACACCAACATCATTACCACCATCATCACCACCATAGTTGCTGCCATTACCATCACCAGCATCAGCCCCACTTCTGGCAGTAAACCAACACTGCTGTCATGAACCGTGTCACACAGCAGACATCTCGGGAGTACCTCCCTTTTCCCTGGTCTTGGAATCCACACAGAGAAGGTAGAGCTTTTCTCCCGGAGGTAAAAAGGCAGCCAGATCTGTCAGCTCAGCCTCCACTTCCCTTTCCAAGACTGGGCTACCTGATGTACATGGCGTCATGCAGAGCAAACTGAAATTTGGGGATGTAGTCTGACTTTCTGGGAATGGGTACTTGATCAGAAGCACAAGGGCACTGGGTGCTGAGGTCTCAAGTGGCCTCCCACCAGCCCTTCGCACCCTTCAGGACCTGCCAGGGAGCTAGCAGCTGGACTCCTCCTGGTGCTTTTGATGACTTAGTGCAGAATTTCTAAGTGACGTTACAATTGTAGCTGAATATACAGCCTGACTCTTCGTTTTAAGAGTGGACCGAAACTCGGAGGACCCCTCTACCTCCAGATATCTCACGAAACTGTGCTCCCACACCAGGCCTCGCTCATACCTTTATTCAAAGCTATTTCTCCAGCTTCAGTTGGGGAACTACATGCTTGCATCCACCCTGAGCTTATCAGAGAATCCTTCCCTTTTATCCCTAGGCCTAAACCATCTGATACACACAACGTCGAACATTCTTCTCTTTCTCACTGCTTTCAAAGAGGAAAGGAATATGAGTGTTCTGTGTTCATAGCTTTGATTCACTAGTTAAAGCACACCCACATTCATTCACTCTCCTGGGTGGAGGGCAAAGTGGCGTCCTTGAGGATCAAGGTCATAAGCCCAGGTCACTGGAGCTCATGGCTCAGCGAGCTTGGTTACATTGTAAATAGTAGCTTTTTGGTGGTAAGGTTGAATGAAGTCATTCACTGACTTCTGTCCATTTTGTAAAAGTCACTCCTACACTTTAGCAAGTTAGGTGTTTGGAT